TGCAAAGAACATGTGGAGCTGCTTGCTGATCACAATGGTGTAGTGCAGTTTTTGAAAACTAGGAATACCGACTGGGTACCTACTCTGCGATTATTGCACAAATATCCATTTATGATGCCACATCAACAGGTAAGGTTTCATGCCTTATATTTTTGGTTTTCTCGTTTATTTTATTTTTGTTCTCGGGTGAGCCATAAAAATGGACACAGGAACACAACAAGCCTAATCATTCACACAGTACTTGGGTCAAATCTCGCTACTTGCTGGCCAACTTCTACGGTTAAAATGGTGTTCAAGAAAAGCCAAGGCAAAAAGAATGTTTATATCAAATATCTTGCGCGTGTAGTCAGTTAGCTAGCCGTCTTTTGGAATGGTAGCTCACTAGTTTGAACTTACTTTGGGGAGGGGGGAATATATATAACATCGAAACGCCTGACCTTTCTGTCGATGATACGCATTTCGTTTACCTTTAGGGTAGTGAGGTAAACGCGCAGTTCTAGTTTCCCATGTTGTTTTGTTCTGCTGACAAGATGAACTTTTTCTGAGCTTTTGTTGCGGATATAAACTTTCGGGTTACATTACCGTAAGACAGCGCTAACACCCTATTGTAAGAAAGAACTACTTGAGTCCATAGGTAATGTGCATATCTAGTTTCTTCGAATGCTTTTGAGTTTGAATCAGCTCGCAGTCAACCATTCATTCAAGACAGTCTCTCACATATATGTATGGTTCAGGTTGATAAAGGTGCTATCAAGTTTGTCTTGAATGGCTCGTCGATAATGTGCCCTGGATTGACATCTCCAGGAGCGAAGATGACACCCGGCGTTCCTGCAGAAGCTATAGTTGCTGTTATGGCTGAGGTAAATTTTCTTCACAAAGATAATGTAACTATAGTTTCTCTTTGCAGGGCAAACAACATGCTTTGGCTATAGGGCAGATGAAAATGAGCTCTGAAGAAATCCAGTCAGTAAATAAAGGCATAGGTATCGAAAATGTACATTACCTTACTGACGGATTGTGGAGATTAGCTGAGAAACCGCTCAACTAACTTTGTTGTTGTTCTGAAATGTTCGTTGTTGACATTTTCTACGAAATTTTCAACTTAAGCTCGATGCGAAGAGCCTTCGCAGTTGACATTGTTTCGGAATTTGAGATCTTTTTTATGCCGTGTGCTTGCACATCCTTGGAAGTAAATTATTGAACTTTCCTTGCACCTATTAACTTGTACAAATGTGGGTCCTAATCATTAGATGATGAGGAGTATTTTATCGTTTATGAGAATGCCATGGAGTGGTAATTGAGGTCAGCGTCTTTCGTTGAAGGCAGTGTCCGGGTAAAAAGTCGATTTTGAGATTT